TTATGATTGCATCATCCATGACTTTTAGGAATAACATGATACAATTCATATAATGTATGACGCAATACCAGCTTCAGATTGCATCATGCTTTTTAGGCAAAACAATGAAAGTACTGTCCAAACCCAGTCATAGATTTATTCATAGGTCCAGTCAAAGATGTATTTTAGTCATTTCTGGTTTAAATTGAGATCCCTTCCCTTTATAACTCACTTATCCTCCGCCATTCCCAAGCCAAGGGTTGTATATACTGACCCAATAGCATATCTTGAAAACTAGAGCCAATCAACAATTTTAAGCATCATTTTCGTTGTCAGTGACCCAGAATTAGTAAAGTTTGACTACATTTATTTCAGAAGCATTTTGGCTGTAGAGCAGTGTAATGGAAAAGTGTCCTGCATGTGTCACCTACATTGGTGGTCTGCTAGGATTAGGGCTGAGGAGAGCAGGGGAAAGTGAGACATCGGCACTGGGTCCCCAAGCTCAGGGGGCCCCCAAAACATCTATGGAAAATGAAAAGAGAGGGGCTGGGCTGGGGCCTAGTGAACATGATGTTCTGAGGCCTGAAGTTTCTCTCCATGGGTCTGGCTAGGATACACAGAGGAGTCTCACTAGGAGAGAGAACAAAGCCGCATTTCGGCAGAAGCTACAGAGAGGGTTTCAGAAGCTATACATGGTGAAACAAGACCCTTCTAGGCAGTTTATCATAGCACCTGCCCAGCTGAGGCCAGAGCGTGGGGAAGCCAATAACAGACATTGGAAGCATAAGAACGTAACATAACAATGACCATACTGGGTCAGACCAGTGTCCTATCCAGGACCGGCCTTAGGGAAAATGGCACCCTGGGCGAACTTGCATTTTGGTGCCCCTGGACCCATGGGTGTGGTGTGCCTCTCCCACCATTGCCTCTGGTCCCACATGGGCTCCCCACCCTCCCTTCCCCCCTAGCCCCTGCACTGTGCCACCTTCACCTCTAATCCTGCACCTCCCTCCTGTGCCCCCAACCCCTGCACTGTGCGTGCCCCCTCACCCCAACCCCTGCATTCCCCTCCTGTGCCCCTAATCCCTGCACCCCTTCACTCCGACCCCCTGCACCTCCCTGCTGAGCTCCCAAACCCTGCACTCTCTTCCTGTGCCCCCAATCCCTGCACCCCCTTCACTCCTACCCCCTGCACCTCCCTCCTGCACTCCTAACCCCTCCAGTGTGTCCCCTTCATCCCAACCCCGGCCCCCTCCTGTGCCCCAAATCCCTGCACTGTACCCCCTTCACTCCTACCTCCTGCACCTCTCTCCTGTGCCCCTAACCCCTTCACTGTGCCCTCTTCACTCCTACCTCCTGCACCCATGTGGGGAAACTGACCCAGCTGGATGCACAAAGCGGCTGGCATTGCTGCTCGCTCCCCCACTGGACTGCTGCTCCTCTGCCACATGCACCCTGTGGGCTGTGTAAGGAGAGGGCAGGAGAGCAGCAGCTGCTGATGCCTCAGCACAGCCCAGGTGGGGAAGTGACCTGAATACAGGGAGCCCTGGTGTTATGTGTGTTGGGGGAAGTGTGTGTGTGTTTGTTTTTTGAGGGGAGTGTGTGACAGAGTGTATGTGTGAGGTAGTGTGTGTTGTGTTGAGGGGAGTGTGTGTGTACCTGAGGGTATGCGTGCGCTATCTCTTTAAGAAAACACTCAGAGGCAGGAGCCTGAAGGCTTGTGTTCAGACACAAGCAGCCACCAGCCACTCTGGACCCAGAGAGGCAGCAACACACACACAGATTCCCCTGTCCCGGCCGTCACCCCAGCTCAGTGGAAATCAGGTACATGGGGGACACCCCAACAACAGCCCTCTTTCCCCCCCTCCAGCAGACAGGAGGGCGCTCCCAGTCCGGAGGAAGAGGGGTGGGCAGGAACAACGGTGGCTAAACATGTGGAGCAGGGGGAAGGAGGGGCATCCCTGCTCTGGAGGAGTCACCTGGTTCAAACAGCTGGTCATCCAACTGACCCCTGCAGCTCGGGTCTCTCCCCGGGACCCCTCTCCAGAGCTGCTGCTCACCTGCCTGACTGCCTGCCACGGCAGATCACGTGGGAATCCAAACCCTGCTCATGGTGCCCTCTTTGGCGGGCTGCCTTGGGTGGGGGCCCAGACAGCCCATCCCAAAGGCCGGCCCTGGTCCTATCTTCCAACAGTGACCAATGCCAGGTCCGTCAGAGGGAATGAACAGAATAGGTAATCACTGTTGCCCATTCCCAGCTTCTGGCAAATAGAGGCTAGGGACACCCACAGCACAGGGTTGCATCCCTGCCCATCCTGGCTAATAGCCACTATTACCCTGTTTCCCCGAAAATAAGACATCCTCCGAAAATAAGGCCTACTTACAGTTTTGCCTCTCGTTGTAATATAAGCCATCCCCCCGATAATAAGACCTCCCCGATAATAAGGCATCCACCGATAATAAGGCATTTTTCATTTCTGAAAAATAAGACATCCCCTGAAAATAAGACCTAGCGCATCTTTGGGAGCAAAAATTAATATAAGACACTGTCTTATTTTCGGGGAAACAGGGTAGTTCTTTATCCAAGCAAAATCTTTTTCCAAAAAAGTTATTAAATAAAAGTCCTTAAACCAAAAGATCTTCCAGGATGGTCTGCCCCTCCCCCATTATTTCTTCTGATGCTGCCACCACCACTTTGATTTTGCAGCTAGCCTTGCCCTTGCCTCCACTGCCCCCATGCTGCAGTACTGGGAGGACTCGATTCATGACAGCCTCTGTCAGATCCCTCGCTGCCTAGGTCTCTGGAGGTGAGGTGTACTGTCGAAGGGTCCCTCTTGGGCACTAGGGAGCAGTAACAGTTTCCCACTTCTCTGACTAGGCATGCTTGGAGCCGGGGGAGCCGGAAAAGGGGGGCCAAGTCCACTTTTCACCACAGGCCCGGCCCTCTGCTCTTCTTCTTCTCCATGAGGCCTTGCCCATGGCCAGGCTGGAAGCTGGAGCCTGGCCTGGGTAAGAGTGGCCTGGGGAGCCCAGGCAGCCAGACCCTCCACCTGTCCAGGTTCGGGAGCTGAGCACAGGCCCAGTCTGTGACCCCGTCCCCCAGACTCCTCATCCAGGGCAGATGGAAGGTCCGCGTCTCTCCATAGCTGTCCCGAGCGGTTCTTACCATGGCCTAGCTGCAGCTCTTCAGCCTCGCTTCCAGGCCAGAACCCAAAGCTGGGTTGTGGTAACAGTCGTGCAGGCAGCTGTGGGGAGCCACGGATCCTCCACCTGCTCTGTGGGGTGGGGTGGAGACACAGGCGGGGGCTGCTCTTGGATCCCCCCACCCTGGACAGGTGGAGGGGCCTGGGCTCCCCAGCCAGGATCTGGCTTCTGGCTTTGCCAGGGGCGGGGCTTGGAGGGAAGAGGAGGGGCAGGGGTGGGGCCATGGAGGGGTAGGACTTTGTGCCCCTCCACTTTTAGGAAGTTGCCCTGCGTGGAGCACCACTGCATTGGCTTCAGAAGACTCATTGGGTGCAGGAAGGACACGATGCAAATGGCCATCTGGAGATGAGAAAAGACTTGAGGGGTGGAGAAGGGCAATGCTCAAAACCTACAAGCTTAGACCTGGGCAGACCAGCCATAGGGGAACCAGACGACCCATAGCCAAGTGACTGGGAGTGAAATCCTGTTCTCATTGATGTTAATGGAAGTTTTGCCATTGACTTCAGGGCCAGGATTCCACCGCTGGATGTCTAAGCTGAACTCACAGATGACTTGAGGCTGAAGCTACTGGAAAGCAATTTTATCTGAAGTACATCTTTTCATTTTCCTTCTGTTAAGAGCGACTGGGCTAAGTGCAGAATGAAGTGACTCTTCGAGAAACACTGCAGAGATGGTTTATGTGCACAGACTACAGCACACAACGTGTTCTAGAAGACAATACACTGGCACCGGATGAGAGAAGTCAAACACTAAAGAGATACTTTAGCCTGGCTGCTGATACTCCTATCTGAGAGAGCTGAACAATAAAGCACAGGTTGGCACTGATGAAGAGCAGGACTCTCAGGATCGATGCCTTTCAGAGATGAATAGAATTTGTGCTAAGTGAAAAAGAAGCCAGAAGTGCTTGTGTCAAGGTAGCTTGGAGAGGCCTTTGGATCGCTCATCATAGGGGCCAGCTGAGATTCTGATTAGACTTGGAAATTCCAAGGATCATTGTAAGTACCCACTCCATTTGTGAACTAGAAGCTGCTGTTCCATGTGCATTTGATGGGTAAAAAAATGCATACCTTTGGTTTAAAAATGAAGAGGAAGGAGGTGCTAAGGAAACCTGGAAAAGCTGAGTCATCCAAACTGGAGTAATTGCTCAGTGCTGGAAAATTAGAGATTCCTTTATGGGAATCTATCTAGGTGCGTCCATGACCCCCTAGCACTATCTTCGGGAATAAAACACATGGAAAATAATAAAACACTGGCAGCTGGGAAAGAAACAGACACAGACGTTCAAGATTTAAGCAAAGTGGATGATCCTGACCCTGCTGTATATAGAGGAATAAGAACAAGCTCTGGAATCAGGAAGTCCTGTGTTCTAATCCTGGCTGTGTTGTTGATTCACTAGGTGACCTTGAGCAAGGTGTGTCCCTTATCTGCCCCAAGTCCCCATCTGTACAGTGTGGATGATATCACTTACCTCCCAGCTCCCAGGAGTCTTGTGTAGAATATCATTTGTGCTGGTGCTGAGCACTCACAACTCCCAAAGTACTTCAGTGGGTGATCCAGGATTCCTTCGACTCTGCAAATCAGGCCTGTAGGGTTTCAAAATGCATGTGATTCATTTTAAAATAGTTACCATGTTAGTGCAAAGAGCTGTGCTGGGTTAGTGCTGTATTGCACAATTCACCCCTTATTTGGCCATCTGCTTTTCTGTATTAAAAAAAGGAAGTGAACAAACAGCTATTTGTAAACATTTGCCAAACATCACCTATGGCATTTCCAGCCCCAAATGCTGGAAAGAATTAAGCTTAGAAGAACTTTTTAGACAGAGGATGCATTTTGATGACAGGGTCCTCTCTACTTGTTTCCCAGGCTTCTTGCATTTGTGTATAGGCACTTAAGATAACTCATGATCGTCCCTCTTTCTCAGCATGAGACAGGAGTCCTCCCCTCTTGCGCTCTCCTGCTTGTGCTTCCTCCCAGGATCCCATTTT